ACGGATTGACAAATTGGCAGCATCAGTGGACTCAAGCATGGTAACACGTGTTAGCTTGGCCCAGGACTAGGCGCTATTTCGTTCTGTTGTGCACAAGGTTGCTATGAGTCAGTACCGACTCAAAGGCACCTAACAACAATTGAAGAAGCACAAGATAGGCAAAGTGGGTGAGAAGGCAGTGTGGGGTGAGGGAAGGGCCCTCAGGGAGGTAGGACTCCCTGGGGGTTGATGGATCAGTGTGTGCTGCTGATGGTTCACAGCTGTGTCCCTCTAGGGCTTGCCCTTGGCCTAAGAGAATGCATAGGTCAAGGTGATGTCTTACTCTCCGGGACCTAAACCAAACCAACCCATTGCCATTAAGTAGATTCCAACTCATAGCAACCCTACAGGGGAGATTAGAACTGCTCAGTTTCTGAAGCTGTAACCTTTATCAAAACAGACGCCACCTCTATCTCCATCAGAGCAGCTGGTGGGTTAAACCACCAACCTTTTGGTCAGCAGTCCAATACTTTACCCACTGCATCACCAAGGTTCCTTCTCAGGGGCAGTCCCCCACAATGATTGGCTGCTGCAGAAGGGCAAAGGCTCTTCTCCACTGGGCGTATCTTGGTACTTCCTACCCACTGTTGATGGTAAAATGGTCACCCCACCAGGAAAACCACATAAACAGGGAGAGATGCTAATTCAGGGCAAGGAAGCCTAGAGTAGGTCAGAGTGGGGTGAATACCAGTTATCACTGTTGCCCTGAGATTAACTACAGCAAAGAGGACTGTAGTCTGTGGTCCTAATCTTCCTTAGAGTACCCCCAGAGAAACACACACCAGAGTCCCGGAGAAACCGTTTCCAGTTGAAGTCAATTTACTTTGAGAAGCAAATGGAATCAATAACACAAGGCGTAGACTGTTGTGGACACCAACTCCCCCTGTCAAGACCAAGGTACTCATTTCCTGAGATGTTGGGTGCTACCTCAAACTGCCCTCATCTCAAAGTGGTTTCCAGGGGCAACCTGTGCTTCTTGATGTGGGAGTAGAAACGCCTGACCACTGGTGTCAACTGCGGACAAGTCTGAAGGGTCACCCAACTCCAGAGCTCCCAGTAACATCAGCTGAGACTTCTATTGTACCAAACAAGTTTAACTTCTCCCTCAGCCATAAGCTGCTTCCTACCAGAGTTGCGCCCAAGTGTACATGCTAAGAAACCTCCTGTGCAGTCTCAGTCCATTTCCTGGAACCTGATCTAAGACATCCCAAAGCAACCGTTTACCATGTTGCTGTGTTTCCTCTACTTTTTGTTTGTTTATATAATCATAGTATAAACCTAAGGAGCTCTGGTAGCATAGCGGTTACGAATCGGGCTGCGAACCTTAAGGTCAGCGGTTCGAAACTAACAGCTGCACCGTGGGAGAAAGATGAGGCTTTCTACTCCCATAAAGATTTACACCCTCGGAAACCCTATATGGGGTCGCTATGGGTCGAAACCGACTCGATGGCACATAACAACAACAGTATAAACCTGCTGTGGTTTTCACTGAAATAGATAATGAGGGGTCTTCAAAAAGTTTGTGGAAAAAAATTCCATTATCTTTTCACTAATATTGGAGTCCTGGTGTGGCACTGTGGGTTAATGTGCTGGACTGCAAGGTTGGTTTGAACCACAAGGTCAGCTGCTCAATCTCACCAGCAGCTCCTTGAAAACCTATACAGAGTCACTCTCAGTCGGAACCTACTCAACTGGCATTTAACAACTACTATAGGAACCCTGGAATGAGCTCTGGTAGCGTAGTGGTTAAGAATCGGGCTGCCAACCTCAAGGTTGGCAGTTTGAAACTACCAGCTGTCCCGTGGGAAAAAGATGAGGCTTTCTGCTCCTGTAAAGATTTGCAGCCTTGGTCACTATGAGTCGGAACCAACTCCATGGCACTTAACAACACAGGAACCCTGGTGGCACAGTGGTGAAGTACTTGGCTGCTAATTGAAAGGTTGGAGGAAGGTTCAAACCAATGAGCCACTCTAAGGGAGAAAGATGTGGCAGCTGGATTCCATAAAGATTTACAGCCTTGGGAACCTTCTGGAGGCAGTTCTACTCTTCTATAGGAGTCCTGGTGTAGCCCTGTGGGATAATGCACTGGACCACAAGGTCAGTGGCTCAGATTCACTAACCGCTCCTCAGAAACCCTGTATAGGGTCACTATGAGTCAGAATCAACTCCACAGCAATGCGTCCAGTGTTTTTGTTTTTAATTTAACTTTATATGGAGTCTTAGTGTGGTGCTACTAGATAATGCACTGGACCACAAGTTGGTCAGTTGGAATCATGAGATTGGCAGTTCAAACTCACCAGCCGCTGCTTGGAAATCCTATACAGGGTCGCTGAATCAGAATTGAGTAGACAGCAATTAGCACTTATCAACTGCCTGACTTCCCTAAGACAGCTTCTAGGAGCCCGTTAGGATTAGCTGAAATCTCACAATCTTGTAGTTATAAATAAAACTTGCCTTTATTCTTTTTAAAAACCTTTATTTCACAGTTATAAAACTAATTACATGGACTGCTAAATGCAAGATCGGTGGTTCATATCTACCAGTCACTCCTTGGAAACCCTGTGGTGGTTAAGGTGCCAAAGTCAGAACTGATTCATGGTGGCCCTGCCCTCATAGGAGCAGTTGGTGGGTTTGAACCACCAACTTTGTGGTTAGCAGTCTAGTGCTTATCCTACAGAACCACACCAGGACTCCTGGGAACACTATATAGGGCCACTGAATTGGAACCAATTTGACAGCACCTAACAAAGTAACTTAGAATATTAGATCATAGTAAATGTCATTAAAATTATGTTAATTCTACGACTTTAATACAATATTAATCTATGTTAGATATATATTAATTATCGTACTCAGAAAGGACCAGTTTAATTTTGGTTTCCTACCATCGGAGTCCTGGTGTGACACTGTAGATTAATGTACCAGACTGCAAGATTGGCAGTTCAAGCTCATAAGCTGCTCCTTTACAGGGTCACTGAGTTGGAACCCACTCGATGGCACTTATAAAGAACAACCAGTGTTGGGAAATCCTGGTGTAGCACTGTAGGATAAGCACTGGACTCAAGGCCAGTTTGAACCACAAGGTCAGCTGTTCAAACTCACCAGCTGCTTCTTAGAAACCCTATGCAGGGTTTCTATGAGTAGAAGTGGCCTCAATGGCACTTAACTACTACAGGATAAGCACTGGACTACTGACCATAAAGCTGTTCCTTGGAAACCCTAGACAATCAGAGTCAGAACCGACTTAACAGCTATAATTTAAGGAACACTGGTAGTGTAATAGGTGGCCTTGGTGGGCTGCGAAGTGCAACATTATCAGTTTGAACCTACCAGCCACTCTGTGAGACAGCGGGTAGAGTCTAAGTTTACCACATCCCTTCGAGGATCATTTTTCAAACTATACCATCTCTGGTTCATAATCTTAGATGGTAGACATGTGAACTTTAATTTTTTAAAATAATTTTAAGATATGTCTAAATTATCCATGACTAGACAAATGCTATAGATTTGGACAAATAAAAAAGCATATTAAAGAAAATTCGTTGATATTAAGAAAACCAAGACGTTTGGGTGATATGGCTGAAATCATGAAGTTGGTATGTGAATGAGTTTAGAAAACACTGCCACTGCTTCACCCAGAGCATGGGTACCGAGTACGCATATGCAAACGAGAAGCCTGCTTCCAAATACTTAGAAGTTTTGTTTTTTTAAATTTTCATTTCTGGACAAAAAATAGTATTTGTCAATACCCACTAGTAAATAGGAAGGTAGAAGAAAGACAAAGAAATGCGACATTTGTGGCGAATCTATTTTTGACCCATGATAGGTCAACACTGAGCTAGGCATGAATCCAGGTTCACAGAGAAGGAAACAGGCTCATTGCCAGTTAGCATTCCACACTGGGACCTCTTGCTCATTTTGTGCTCTTTCAGGTGCTCACAGCTTCCGCCTTCCCCCATTTTACCTTCTTTCCATTGGGCACTGCAGAAAAACTCCACTCATTTGGACCTTGGGCATTGCAAAGTGTTAATTTGGAAAAAGTGTAAATTGTAGATCCAGCAGTAACCAACTACGGTAAGCAAACCTTGCCCTTCAGAGCCTGGCGTGTATATATACATATAGATAGCATATGGATGTGACCCACCTTGTGGAGCTCATGGATCTTTTTTATTTCTTTAGTTTCAAACCATATATAGTCTTCACATTCCAAATGCAAACAGATACAATCCTCCATCCTCACCATGGGGAATTCAGAAAATACAAATGTGCACAGAATGAACAAAATGCACCTCCACAAACCACCACTCAGAAATAACCACAGTTTACATTCTGATCAATATTTCATCCTGGTGTGGCACTGTGGGATAAAGCACTGGACAGCAAGATTGGTTTGAACCACAAGGTCAGCAGAACAGACTCGATAGCACTTAACAATACACACCCACCCACAACACATTACTTTCCTGTTTATTACATAGTACTCCTAGCTCCTTCCTTCCATTAAAAATGCTTTCTTTTCCTTTCATTTAAAGCTACTCTTTATTGATTTTTAACCAACTCCATCAATATTTTATCCTCAGTTCCATATTAGGACTAGCCTTTAATAATCTGAAGACAGAATTCATATGATTAAAAGAAAAAATTAATCTGAACCCCTTCATACAGCCAGATGTAGCAAGAAACAGTACTTGGGCACAAAGTAGATTAAATAGAATTTTTTTTTAAAGTAGATTCCTGGGGAGGAAAGGTGAGGTAGAGGCAGAGGAAGTAAGTCATTGGCACATTATCAGAATGGAATCATTATTTCAAAGCAACTAACAAATGATGACGTTTCAGTTACAATGTTTACTGACCAGAAAATTCCCATGGCATCTAAACTTGTCATTTTAGAAAAAGGCAAATATCGATGAACAGAACAGTGCAGAAAGGTAAATGCCAGCTAACATAAGAATGGTGCATACAGATGGCCTTAATTCTGGAGTCCTGGAAGCTGGTAGGTGTTCATCCATCGCATGGCCATCTAGAAGGTGGGAACATTTGGTCATTTCCTGCTGCCCAAAGGTGGCATATCAACATGAGCCAAAAATCATTTGAGGCCTAACATTTGACGAGTTCAGTATGTTTATAGCATCAATGACACAAAAATCAGACTTCTCGTACAAAAGACTTACAAAGTTACCTCAGCCTGCTCTAACTAGTTCTTCCCTGGACACTCACTTTATCTTTCCTAACCTACCCCTTGAGTCCCCTCAGTAATACTCTGGAAGAAAGATCTGGTGATCTGCTTCTTTATTATAGCAAAGAAAACCCATGGAGCAATTCTATTCTGAAGCATGGTGCTGGATGAGTTGCCGTCCACTTGATGGGAACTGAGTTGGGTTAATAGGTGGTACTTTTAACTGCAGAAGTGGGGCAGAACTTCTTAGGCTCTGATGAGAAGGCGACAGCCTACTTCAGACCACAAGTTCCAGGAAAAAAAGCAATGGTGCCCACACATGCAATCATTTCATCTACACTTACCACACACCTATCCTGGGCCTGATGCTGAGAATGCACATGGAAGACACAATCCTTGTCTGGGGGTAGAGATCCAGCATGTGCTCAGTAAAGTGTTTGTTTTCATTTCTTTTCTGGACTTGAACATTTTCCATTTTAGAAATCCCTAAGGACCAGAACGATGAACTGCTTTGGAACTTGGGTAACTCTAGAAACCCGGTTTAGCTTGGGATGGGAAGTGCATCCTCTCCCCTTGTTCTTCTTCTGGTTTCAGCTCTTCTCCTTATTTTCTCATAAGGTCAAAAGATTCTGAGGTCAGTCACCTGGGAGTATCATGCAGGGGACTTTTAGGGCCCATGAAAACATTTCTGAAGGATGAAAGCGGGGTCAAGCCTCTGGAGGGAATTTAACTGCATTCTTTGGTATTCAGACACTAGTGTTTGGGTGAGTACGAGCTAAGAAGTCCATCGTGGAAAGGGCTTGAGTACCCTGCCCAAAGAAAAGGAACACTGGAGAGCACTTCACAGGATTTACGAGACACAGTCTTTTCTCATTTATTTTCTCTAATACAAGTTCACAGATGATAAAAACAAAACAAACTAGTTACCATCAAGTTAATTCCAACTCATGGTGACCTCATTGTTTCAAAATAGAACTATGCTCCATAGTGTTTTCAGTCATGTGACCTTTCAAAGTAGAGCACCAGATGTTTTGGTTAGTAGTCAATCACTTAACCGTTCACATCACCCGAGGACTCCTCACAGACTATAAAAGAATATCAAATGGGTTTGGAATAACTCTGAAAGGCAGCACCATTAACTACATTTCTGAAGGAGCAAATATCATGGATGCCAGTGTGACTATCCCATCTACGTCTTCGATGCTTTCACAAAATATAACCAGCATTGGCTGTAGTGAGACTCTGCACAAACACGAGGGAGGATATGTCTGTGTTAGCAAAGTGCTCATAGATCACTAACCCCCATGGATGAACATCTGCTTACCACAACCAGGCAGAAATGTCTGAGGAAAGCAGCGCAGCCAACCATTCCAGCATTTACACAAGGAACATTTCTTGGACAGCCAGGTGTCATGGGGCACAGGTCCACAGTTCCTGAGAACATACGGATGAGACTCCTTCTCTGTTCTCGCCTGCGCCTAGTCCCCTTCCCTCCCCTACCTCCAACCATTTAAAGACTTACTCTTTGCGAACATCATGCTCGCAGTTCCGTCCGTAGAAGTAAGGAGGGCAGGCACAGAAGGACCCAAGCATGCAGGTTCCCCCATTCAGACAGCAGGTCTTGTTTAGCTGTTTACCTAAAATGAGAGGAGTGTGCTAGAGGCTGAGGGGTAGAAAAGCTCAAAGGACATTCCTGTGAGCAAAAGTTCATAAGGAGCTTTAGAACTTTCAAAGAGTTTGTTGTTGTTGTTAAGAGCCATCGAGTCAGTTCTGACTCATAGCTACACTGTACAGGGTTTCCAAGGAGTGGCTGGTGAACTTGAACCAGCAACCTTGTGGTTCAAACTGACTTTGCAGTCCAGCACATTATGCCAGAGCCACACCAGGACTCCTCAGAGTGACACTCTTTTAGAGCTCTTGCTACCTAGACCTTTGGAGCAGATAAATCTTTTTCAGACACAGACCAGTGCTGGTTCTGAAACCCCTAGCACATATGTGCAATCAGGAGAGGTGTTCTAGAGAGGTGAATGAGATAATGCTTATCTTACATCCATAACCCAAACCAGTCCAGAGTCCAGCCACCCACCCTCCCTGCTCATCACAGTGAGGTACCCACTCTCCTAGGTGTACTGTTGTTGCCTGGATAGGGTTTATGAGGAGCCGCGGGTTCAAACCAACCTCGTGTTCCACTGCATTACCCTGTAGCACCACACCAGAACTCTCTCTTAGGTGTGAGTAAGAAAAAAAAAAAAAAAAACACACCCAAAAACCCCAAACTCAATGCTGTCAAATAGAATAGATTCTAACTCATCATGACCCTATCGGAGTTTTCAGAGATTGTAAATCTTTGTGGAAGCAGACAGCCTCATCTTTCTCCATTGGAGCAACTGGTGGGTTTGAATGGCTGGCTGATCATGCTCCTCAGGTGGTAAGAGCACCCCAAATTAATTTAGGACTCCTGGCATGAGATGGTGGATGTGCTAACTAAGACCTGAGGTTAAAACTCCATTTTGAATCAAAAGTAACATCTGCATTGAGAATGCAGTCCATCAGTAATCATTTCTGTAACCTGAGAAAAGTACTTGATAAGTAATTTTTTAAAACAACAACAACAACAAAAAACAATGTGATTTTGCTTGTTTGGTTGTTTTAAGAACCCATCCTGCTCAAAACGGGGTCCAAAGCAATTCTCAAAACAAATGTTTACACAAGATAAAATTTTAAATTACAGAATCCCATGATTGTTTTAAGGCCAGATGTACATATTTTAATAATTATTTTGTAATTAAAAACAAAAGCCTACCTATCAAGTGTACCATCACCCAACTTTGTAACCATTACATAAATGTCAACCAATATCTGAACTCTCATTGAATTTCCTTGTATTCTCTTAACATAACTCTCTGATCTGTCTGTTATGAATCGGGCTGCTAACCTCTTGGTCGGCAGTTCCGCAGGAGAAAGATGAGGCTTTCTGCTCCCGTAAAGATTTGCAGCCTCAGAAACTCTGTGCACGGTCACTATGAGTCGGAACCGACTCCACTGTACTTAACAACAACACTTTTAATTTCAACCCGATTTTGCCATTTTGCTCCGCAACAGGTGAGTCAAAAAAGGTGTTCAGGGAACAGAGATACTGCACTGTGGAGGCAAGGCAGTAGGTCTTACTGTCCTGGATGCCCACGAACGGCACAAACTGCAAAGGTTGATCACGAATTACAGGCTCCTCCCGGGACCGAATGTCATCTCCTGGTGCAGTTTCACGGTAGCCCAAACCTTAAAGACCAGAAACAACTCATGGAGTCTGTGTTTTGCAGCACATTAACATTTAGTGATCAAAAGAACAAAATGCCTCTCACCAGCAACTAATCCCAGCTCTAGTGCTGTGGAAAAGGCCATGATGAAAATCATACTAGGAGAAGAAAATCAGACATCTGTTAGCAAAACAATGCAAATAAAATTCTCCCAAATAACACCTGGGTCCTCTCAACAGCAAGACGGGGACAACGGGCCTCAGAGGCTGGAGAGTACCACCTCCTATTTTTTCCTTTTTCTTTGTTTTAAAAATGGATGACTCATTCATGTAACAAAGGAAAAAAAAGTGTTGAAAAATAGGTAATTTAATTGCAAACTCTTTTCAATATACTTAGGCTCTGCCCTCATATGCCTCATATGCTCATATTTTCAAGTGGATATAAATCTGATCTTCTATTTCACATATTTTTTCCTTATAGTTTTCATATAAGAGTTTAAAAATGGCTGCATAACAAGTTATTGATTTATAAACAATTTTATTTAAATCATTCATTTAAAAAAAGTTAAAAGGTTGAAGTTTACTATACATAATGGTGTTGCAAATATTGAATCTTTAACCTTTTCAGAAACAGATTTTAAATTGGATATTGGCCTTTTTATGCACCAGAGTAGGAAACCAGTAACTATTGCAAAGGCAGAGTCAATAGCAAGATTGAAAGTGTTCAAAGTCAACAGCAAAATTGGATGAACTGTGTGACGTTATAGGTCTTTCAGACAAAAAACGCAACATTCTAGAAGTTTGAGCAAGATGAAATGAAAAAACAGAAACCTGAAGCACATTATTTCCTAGACTGGCAATCTGTAGGAATCAAAAGTTCAAGAACAAAATTGGTTCATACCTGGAAGAGAAGTACTCCATCTTCCTGCAGTCTATAGCCCTTTCTTTAACAATTCAAGTAGAAGAACGTTAGCATGGCTTTTTCATTGACACGGTCACTGCCCAAACACCCAAAGGCAAACATTCATTTCCTGAAGTGAAAATGGGAATGTAAAAAAGAAAAAAATATCCCAAATAAGAACTATAGTTTCCCCAGTTGTCCGGATGTCCAAGGAAACTCGATGCTCGTATCTCAGCTCCAACGAATGCTTTGACCTTGATCCCAGGACTGGGCCTTCTAGGGGAACAAACAACCCCCTAAGGTGACAGGGAAGTCTCTCAAATTGGCCAGGGTGGGGTAGGCCGGAGGCCAAGACCCATTACAAAGCCCAAACCTTCCAGGCGCGTAGGTGAGAGGGGTCTTGGGGGTTTAAACTATGCAAGATAATAGAAAAGGCGGAGTCTTGTAAAACCGGCTAACTAGCTCAAGTGATCTTCTTCCCTAGTTGAGGGTTAACTTGTCCGATTTACTTTTGAAAAAAAGATACATTGATTACTCCCTTCAATTAAAAAAGAAGTGGTGGAAAGTAAAGGCTCAGGAAAATCTAAATGCTCCATACGGATCTTTCAATGCGTCTGATATTTTATTTCCTGGTTTCATTTACTGAAATTTGCTTTCATCTTAGTTTTTTTCATGTAAGATGTGTTGAGCCCCTTATTCAGTTCTGAGGGGATACTGAGGTTGCCGCCCGCAGGGACTGAAGTCCCTGCAAGATGCAGCTCTGGCTCCCTAAGTTTTGTGTCAGGAGGGGTCCCTAGGGGCTCCAGACGTGGTGTGAGTGTGAATTCCAGGCGGAAGGGAAACAAGAGGCGGCGCCAGGTGCACAGGAGGCAGCACCAGGTGCTCCGGCGGAAGGAGGGGCGGGGCGAGAGTGCGGAGGGTGGGGGAGGAGGACTGAGTTCTGCAAATCTGGCTGATCTGCCTCGGAGGCCTTTTCGACCTTGTCGGTGATCTTCTCAGTTTCTCAGCGTCTAGAGTGCGCTTCTCCCATCCATTGTTCCCCACCCCCGAGTTAGCAGTGCTATGTGTCCCTCTAAAAAGGGTTATGTGTGGTGGCTTCGTCTTGCTCCAGCCACAGTTGAAGAGGGCGCATCCAAAGTCCTCTCACTTAGTGTCCCTCAGCTATTTGGGCTATTTAATTCGTTACTAAATAGTCCTGGTGTGGCGCTGTAGGATAAACACTGGACGGCTAATCTCAAGATTGACGTTTCAAACCCACCAGCCGCTCCCCAGAAACCCTATACATGGCCGCTATGAGTCAGAATTGACTCTACAGCACTTAACAACAACAACAACAATAAATAGATCCAAAGTCATGAGTAGCTTCTAAGCTAAAAGCCTGGCGTTTATCTTACATTGCTAGGCACACAAATTCCAATATTTCATGCAGTTGTATTATAATTGGATTGACACCATTGCACATTGAATCGACAGCATCTGAGGCCATTTCAACATCAGTGAATAATAAGGGCACCAAAGGCGCTGAGAAGATTCCTGTGGGCTAATGCGTCAGACTGCAAAGTCGTTTGAACTGCAAGGTCAGTGGTTCAAGCTCACCAGCTACTCCTTGGAAACCCTATATAGGGTCACTATGGGTCAGAATTGACTCGATGGCAATTAACATCAAAGGCACTGAGAAGAACTGATTAGTTGCTTCTAAATATACATTTTGTTTTTAGGTGCCATCTAATTGGTTGCAACTCATAGCGACCCTATATAAGGTTTCTGAGGATCAACTGGTGGGTTTGCACTGCCGATCTTTGTGGTTCTAAGTACAGGACTGATCCGTACAGTGCTGATCCTACAACGCCATACCAGGAGTCTAATACATATTTTAGAAAAAATAAATTTAAATTTGGGGTTAAGGGGGATAGAGCCCCATCGGAGTAATTGTGCAACAGTGCAGTGAAGCCATTTGCCTGTAACCACCACCATTATCAACAGAACAGCAGGCAACCATTTGAGTCCTGGTGTGGCGCTGTGGGTTAATGCGCTGAGCTGCAAAGTCGACTTGAGCCACAAGGGTCGCTATGGGTCAAAACTGACTCTAAGGCATTTAACAACCTTCAACTGCGCCTGGTGTGGCCTTTCAACTTCTTAAATGCTTCAGGTCACATGCAGAGATTCTTAGAGGACTGCAGAGGTAGGCCGGAAGATTTAGGCTGGCGGAAGTGGGGGAAGGTACCCGGCGACTGACATCACAAGAATGCTTAGAGACAATACTTAATATAGTACATTTATGTGATGCTCTCTGCATCACAATCCTTAACAGTCCAACGTGCTATGTAGATCAACTTAGTGAAATTATTGGCTCCATTTTATGGACAAGATCACCATTCCAGTTTGGGGATTTTAATGTCTTCTGAAGGGCTGGGCAGGTCAGTGGTAGAAATGGCAACAGAATAGAATCCTGCATTCCACATCTGAATGCGCTGCTGTGGAACTTGTCTAGCTCTAACTAGAATCCCTAGGGAGCTCTGGTTGCCATAGTGGTTATGAGTAGGGCTACTAACCTTAAGGTCAGCAGTTCGAAACTACCAGCAGTTCCGAGGGAGAAAGATGAGGCTTTCTGCTCCGGTAAAGATTTACAGCCTCAGAAACCCTGTGCAGGATCACTATGAGTCGCAACCTACTCTACGGCACATAATCACCACCACCACCACCAGGATCCTTGGAGGTTATGGTGTGGGCGCTGTAGGAGAAGAATTAGATTGCCAACCACAAGGCTGGCAGTTCAAAGCCACCAGCAGCTTATTGGAAAACCTATACAGGGTCGCCGAGACAGAGTCGGAACTGACATAAGAGCATTAACAACAGCTTTTGTTGTTAAGTACTGTGGAGTCGGTTCCGACCCACAGAGACCCTGAACAGAGTTTCCGAAGCTGTAAATCTTTACGGGAGCAGAACGCCTCACCTTTCTCGCGCGGACAGCTGTAGTTTGGAACTGGTCTGGTAAAGTACTGGTTACGAATCAGGCCGTGAACCGCAAGGTCAGCAGTTCGAAACTACCAGCTGCTCGGCAGGAGAAAGATGAGGCTTTCTGCTCCTGTAAAGATTTACAGCTTCGGAAACCCTGTTTAGGGTCGCTATGGGTCGGAACCGACTCGACGGCACTTAAGAACAACAACCCTGAGGTTAGCATCCAATTCATAACCACTCTGGTAGCGTAGTGGTTACGAATCGGGCTGTGAACCTTAAGGTCAGCGGTTCGAAACTACCAGCTGCTCCGTGGGAGAAAGATGAGGCTTTCTACTCCCGTAAAGATTTACACCCTCCGAAACCCTGTACAGGGTCGCTATGGGTCAGAACCGACTCGACGGCACTTAACAACAACAACAACACTACCAGAACTCCTTTAACAACTGTTGTTGTTATGTGCCGTGGAGTCGGTTCCAATTCACAGCGACCCTGTACAGGGTTTCCGAGGCTGTAAATCTTTACAGGAACAGAACGCCTCATCTTTCTCCCACGGAACAGTTGGTAGTTTTGAACTGCTGACTTTGAGGTTCACAGCCCGATTTGTAACCACTACGCTACCAGCAACAACAGCTAGGATCCCTAAAAATCATCTTCTCATTTTCAGAGGAAGGAAAGCCTGCAGACCCTGAGTTCAGATGGTACCCTGGCTTCTATGATGCCAGCATTTCTGTCATGTTGTTTCTTCTCATGAAAGGAATCAGGAATCATTGAAATATCTCCATCATCCCCCCCTTCCCCCAGGTACAGAGCAAGGTCAAATGGACCCAGAGTAGATAAAGCAGGGCAAGGTTTCGGGAGAGGGAGGAGAAGGGATCCGATACTTTTAAGAATGCCATTAGCTGTCAGGCTTTGGGCACAAGGTATTCAATGAGTCCTGTATGTTGCCAGTGAAGGGCTGGACCCTGGGACAGAGTGATGAGACATATGACATTATAGTATAGTAGGGAATAAACCCTAATCCTTGTTCAGATCTTTTTTCCTGCATACACTCCGTCGGTTGCCAACTCAGGCTGATGATGATATCCATTGAGTAGGGATATGGGCAGTGCTAACTTTCTCTGTTTATACAAGTAAGAAGCATTTAACTGGCAACCCTAGTGGCACCATGGCTGAATGATGGGCTGCTGACCAAAAGGTTGCAAGTTCTCAACCACCAGCTAGCTACTCCACAGGAGACGGATGTGGCAGTCTGCTTCCATAAAGATTACAGCCCTGGAAATGCCTTTTCTTTGTCCTATCTATTTGATAGGAGTCAAATCCTCTTGATAGCAACAGGCCAACGTGTTCGCCCCCATATGTGGCTGTTGGTGAATCTCAGTGTGGGGAAGACACCCCTGTTACCATTTGTGACTGGGTGGCTGAGTCATATTTCTTTTTATTCAGTCATCACACAATTATTTTATCTTGCAATTTTCATAGAGTGAAATGGCAATGTCTGAAATTAAAAGCAAAGAGTCTTTATTGAAAGACAAGACAGTTTGCAAATTGAAAATCACAAAATCCAGAGGATTCTGAAGTAAGTGATTCAAGGAAGAGACAATTCGGAGAGTTTATGTAAGAGAATACAAAGAACTTCAGTAAAAATTCAGCGATTGGTTGATATTGAAGTACTGGTTACAAAATTGGGTGATGGTACATTTGATTAGTACGAGATTACATATACTTTTAAAGTGGTTTTGCTTGTTTTTTAAGTTATAAAGCCATCATAAAATTGGGTACATCTGGCCTCCATGAGACCCCTTTTGAGTGACTGTTGGGAGAACATACGTAATTTTAAAGTCTATCTTGAGTAAAACTTTTGTTCAGAATCTGTATTTTCTAAGCAGGTATATTCTCTCTCTCTCTCTCTTTTTAAACTTTTTATTGTGAATAAAGTGAAGCTTTACAGAGCAGTTTATCAGTTTTACATTCAAATAGCATACACTTGATTTTATTTCAATGATTACAGTCTCCTCCATGTAACGTCCCGCTTTCTCCCTGTGTTTCCCAGTTCCATTCTTCT